TGGTTGGTAAGCTTGCTGGGGATAAGGCTAGGAGGTGCTAGCCCTGTGAACTTGCAATTCAACCAGTGGTTAGGCCTTAATGCTTTTGCTACTGATAAAATCACTGGCAAAACTATAACCAGAATGAAAATACCAGACTGTTTTGCAAGTGCAGAGCTACAGCCAGCTTAAACTGCTGATCTCATGAGCTTCTTCAGTCATTAGGAATCAATTATGCCTTATATTTCACAAAGTGATTGTGAGGAATAGGACTTGAGTGGACAAAAAGCAGCAACTGTTTTATAGTAGCAGCTGTTTTATAGCAGCAACTACAGATCTAAGAAATTCCAGATCTTTTCACTACAATAGAGCACAATTCTGCAAAATAGCTGATTTTTCTAAAGGTGGTACAAACACATGATGTGGTGGTAACATACTTTATGTGTCAACATCTATTAATTGTTCCCAATGTTATGAGCAACTAGAATATCGTAATAGAAACAATAGTCTACTGCCTTAAAACTTCAGACTACAAAGCTTTATTTATTTCACAAAATGTATATACTACTCGATTGTAGAAAATGACCTCAAATTGGTTTATACATGATACCATGTGTTTTTAGAAAAACAAATTCCTTTTGCAAATTATTCATAGTTAATGCTGGTTAATAGAGATAATGCTACTCCATTTTCCAGATGAGAATTGAGACAAAACACATTCATAGAATCATAGAACTGTAGAGTTGGAAGGGACCCCAAATGTCGTCTAGTCCACCCCCTAATAATAATAGTAATAATAATAATAATAATAATAATAATAATAATAATTATTTATTTATACCCCGCCTATCTGGCTGGGTTTCCCCAGCCACTCTGGGCAGCTTCCAACAAAATATTAAAATACAACAGTGCGTCAAACATTAAAAGCTTCCCTAAACAGGGCTGCCTTCAGATGTCTCCTAAAAGTCTGGTAGTTTTTCTCTTTGACATCTGGTGGGAGGGCATTCCACAGGGCGGGTGCCACTACTGAGAAGGCCCTCTGCCCGGTTCCTTGTAACTTGGCTTCTCGAACTGCCAGAAGGCCCTCAGCACTGGACCTCAGTGTCCAGGCAGAATGATGTGGGTGGAGACGCTCCTTCAGGTATACTGGACTGAGCCTGTTTAGGACTTTAAAGGTCAGCACCAACACTTTGAATTGTGCCCGGAAATGTACTGGGAGCCTGCAATGCAGGAATCCTGACTAAAGCATCCATAACAGATGGCCATTGCTCTGCTTCAAAACCTCCAGGGAAGGAGAGTCCACCACCATCCGAGAGAATCCATTCCACCGCCAAACAGCTCCTACTTAGAAAATACTTCCTGCTGTTTAGTCAGAATCTCCTTTCTTGTAATTTGAAGCTTGGATGGTGACTGGTGTTTTCAGCAGACCATTTTGAGGTTGGGATTTGAGACTGTCCCTATAGCAGCTCATCAGGACAGCCAACCACCGTTCAGCACTGCAGCTCCTGAAACAGTGAGGCAATCATGGAGCAGCTGCAGTGCAATATAAAGTAGTGCTTGGCTGAAGGCCCTCATGCTTTGTAGTACTGTTATTTTCTTGAGATCAACTCCCATGCTTGTTCTTCTCACCATCACTGTGTTCAAAATACTCATGACTAGAACTGAGATGAGTTTCTAGCTTGCTAGAACTGGGTTTCCACTTTCATGTCAAAATTTGCATGTTTAATGAAGGAAGGCAAAGGCTGAGCAAACTGCATGAAAACTTAAAAAATGTGTTTCTCTGTTTTTAATCCAATCACTATTTAGATAGAGCTATGCAAATGGTCCCAATGGCTGCAGGGAACTGTAGTTTAGGGATCAGGGTAACTCTGTAAAATATTTTAAGTGGTGTGTGTGAGGGAAGACAGATAATTACATACTTGGGAACTTTAGTCATATTTTTGCAGTCTAGTGTTTAATACAAAAGCATCTTTGCATGTGATAAGTAGGGGATATAAAGACTCTCAAAAACTCAATCAGTAGTGGGTGGAAGCTTCTGAGAGCACTCTTCCATTTGTTTACTTCTCTGTGCAAGTGCAGTTAATGATAAGTAAATTACCTCTGTGACACTACTGAGAAGTTTATCAAAAATTAAAACCAGGTGCAGATCAAAGATATCCCAGAAGTACATCTGATAATTACGGTAGGATTAGTGTAAAATGAATGCATTTATTACCCATGATATCATTCAATATGTCTAGAGAATAGCGGTACTTTATTTTAATTAGCTGTTTCTTTCACTGGGTTCTGTGGTCAAACTATCTTGATAAGAAAACAAGTGTAGCAATTGGTCAGAAAGCTTGTAGCAAATCTTGTTTCAAATTGAAGCAATTTATTTCTTTAAAAAATCTACAACTGAAAAGCAATCAATGGACTTTTCCATTAGAGTAGATCCAGGCTTGTGCTACCGCAAGACTATTGTTAATTGCCTGTAACTAATGATTGCTTTGCCCTCAGATGTAACTCTTCAGCACTCATTCATTTGTTGTGTTTAACAGAATGCCATTTCCCCAAGGAAATGCCTGGTAATTTTCCTCAGTTTTCAGAGCTCTCTCAGTCCTTAAACAGGGCAAGGCCTGTAATTTAATGTCATAACACAAAGTCTAAACAGATATGAAATGGTGTGCACTTCTTGTTTCTTTCTTCCCTCCTTCCCCTTGAAGTGGGAAATTATTATTTTTTTTTAAAAAAAATCTCTCACTTCAGGACTTTCAAATAAAGTATAATACTTGCTCCTGTTGCAGCCCTGTAACAATACAGTCGTACCTTGGATCCTGAACGCCCTGGAACTCGGATGTTTTGGCTCCTGAACGCCGCAAACCCAGAAGTGATTGTTCTGGTTTGCAAATGTTCTTTTGGAACCCAAATGTCCAACGGGGCTTCCACGGCTTCCGATTGGCTGCAGGAGCTTCCTGTAGCCAATCAGAAGCCGTGGTTTGGTTTTCAAACGTTTTGGAAGTCGAACAGACTTCCAGAACGGCTTCTGTTCGACGTCCAAGGTACGACTGTAATGCAAAATGTAGCAGCCCTGTAACAATAAGGCAAAATGTAGTATAAGGCAAGAGTTCATTGACAATACTGGATATATCAAGCTACTCTGGCTTACATTTTGTAAAGTCATGTGACCACAGCCTTCCAACTGTACTGATTTAATCAGGTAAGTTCCAAATATTTTGGGGAGGTGAGAGTCCTGGGACTGTTTTGGATTGGATACGTGTACCAACAAGTGGATTTTGTGTTGGACACATGCCATGCTAGAAGTAATGTAGGAGCATGGGATGTTATATTGCTTCTGGAATGAATAGCATTTGGTGCAATTAGTAAGGTCAATAGAGGATACTCTCAGTTTCTCCAGATTGATTCTGGCTTGGCAAGCAATGTGTGAGAAGTGGAGGGATTGAGTGCAATCTAGAGTAAAATTAAGCAAACTTAGATCCTGTTGATTTCAGTGGGACCTAAGTGTACTTTCATCAGAACTGAACCAAATATATGATAGTGTTTTTTTATAGTTTTAACTGTTAAAAGTGCATGAAAGTGTTCTTCAAATGAGGCATCCTATGGTCCCTAATGAGATGCCTTTAGTAGCATAAGCATTCAGTAACATACACAATAATTCTTTTTTTAAAAAAAACTTCATGATTTTTTTCTGTTTGATCTTGTAATAATTCTAATCTAGTTTCTCTATACTAGTATTTTCCCCTTGTCTTAATGCATCATCATTACAGCAGGCATATAAATGGTGTATTTTGCACCTAGCAACCTGGCACATTAAATCCCCATCTTCTGGTTACCACTGAACGGCTGCATCACATGTGGCAGAAAAAGATAAACAGCAATGTAGTAAGCCAGTGCTCTACAATTTCCATTTCCATTTATTTTCTAAGCCATTTTATTACTATTCTAATGAAACTGTTGTGGGTTTATTTATTTGAGGAAAACAAACATCTTTTCCCTATAGATAAGAAATATTCCAAATATGTGGAACCAACACTCCTGATCTGAAAACTGTAGAATATAAAGGAGGTTACATTACCATTCTTAAGAGAACGGTGTGTTAAATAAATCCTTTTTTTAAAAAAAGCAAAAATAATAATAATAATATTTAATTACATTTTATTGTCTTCTAGAGAACACTGAGGCTTTTATAGCAGTTGCATGCATCTCGGTAATAAAAGCATAAACATACCTAGGCAGTGGAAAGAACTATTATTGCTCATGTTTTCCCCCCTCTAGCTTTTGTATTTCTATAATTGAAATATATGATATTGAATTGTTATAGCAGCAAATACTAAACAAAAACCACGACAATATAGCACACATGACAATGGGATAAAATTCCCTGTCAAAAATTTCCAAGGGGCAGTTGTGTCAGTTGGTTCTATCACAAACAACAAGGAGTCTTACGACACCTTAAAGACTACCACATTTATAATATAATACGTTTTCATGGACTAGCGTACTCTTGATGATCCAGGCTCTTGCGTTTTGTTTTGTTTTAAACCTAACTGATAGTGAATACGGTAGTCATCATGCCATCACTGGGTATAATAGTAGGTACACATACCCTCTGTTAATGGAACGCAGGCTCACATGGTCACGCCATGAACTTCCAGGTCAGGCCCTAGATATGTATAGCAGAATGTTGCAGCCCAACATATTGTGGGTAAGTACTTGGCTTCACAGTTGCCTTCCTCACAGGGTTGTTGTGATGATGAAATATGGAGCATACCATGCAGGGCACCTTAAGCTCCTTGAGGGAGAGGCAGGATATAGATAAATATAATAGTTGTTGTTTTTTGCAAAAACCACTAATCTGTAGTGCATGCACAACACAGTCCTTTAATTCTGCATTCTCTTTTCCCTTTTCATCTGTCAAACAGTATTTTAAAGCTTTTTTTTTATGTTGAGCCACAGCCATTTTTCTAGGCTGAATGATAGAAATATTACAAGCAATAATGTATTTCAATTTTTTATTTTTTTTTAGAATGACAGACTATTCTTCATCTCTAATTTCAATACAGCTTGTGAAACAATACAACAGCCTTATGACATTACAATGTTTGTCTTCATTTTACCACCCCTCATTTCCTGTCTTAACAGCAGCAGGAATAATAGTATGGTCACCCATATGCAACTGCTTGGTAATTGTGAGGGCAATGGGCAATGATGACTTTAACACTTGCAGTTATTATCCGATAAGTGTTATTACCAAGGAGATTACTGTTGACAGACAGTATGATTACATTTGTCTTGAGTTGTGTGGATTTTTTTTTTCATCCTTGAAAACTAACCTACATGACAGTGATCTCAATCCATCATGCAATCTCCAGTGGTACAACATAACACAAGAAAGTGGTCACGTTCCAGCTCTGAATGTCAGAAATGACAAATTGGGATGATTTGCAACATCTAAGAGAGAGAGAAAAAAGGCAAACCTGTTTATGGAGAGTTGAGAAGGGAAGATGAATTGCATATCAACAGGGAATGGTGTCAGAGATATTAAAACACAACCGATCCATGAGACACTGGAAGACATGAAATAATTTGTCTTCACATATTTAAATTTTGAAAAAAAGTATATATTTAGCTTCATCCTACATGACTGACAAAAACTCCTTGAGCAATGCAACCGCATATGTAAACACTGCATATCACAGGACTGTTGTGTACAACAAAAAGATAACCATGGTTGTTGCTTCCTGTAAAAAATGGTGTTATACCTGTGACAAACTAGTAAAACACATGCTCTTTCTACAGACAGAATATCTAAATATCATGTATTTTTGAACTGTTGACAGCATTTTCTACCTCCACAACATGATAATAAATGGCTGCCTTTAGTTCAGAATGTGGTGGTTATTAAGTTTTATAATTCTTTGCAGAGCTGATGTATACAGTTGAGCTTGCTGGCGGGCTTGGTGCTATTCTGCTGCTACTTGTTTGTTTAGTGACTATCTACAAGTGCTACAAGATTGAGATTATGCTATTCTACAGGAATCATTTTGGTGCTGAAGAACTAGATGGAGGTAAGCAAGCAAGCCTCTCCCTATACCCTTTTTTATATATCTAAAAAACCCCATGGAATTTTAATTTGAAACAAAGTTAAAATAAAGGCAACAAAAAGGAAGACGCAGTCAAAGCACAAGATCACCAAAGAACAGCGAAAAGAAGACTCGCTGATTCCAATCCTTCGTATATAATAGGTAAGCCTATAAAACAGCTAGAGTAAAACATGCTAAAGGGAACAACTGAGGGAATCAGGATGTGTAAATGATGCAGACAAGTCATTGGGCCTCTCCAGACTGATGTTTTATTGCAGGTGTATTCTGCAACATATTATTGGCACACTAACAGTGCATTGGTGGTGCATTTATTATTAGTTGTTCTGTAATGTTTCCCCAATGCTACTACCACCTTATTGCTGACCAGAATGGCTATGATGCAACAAAGGTGGGAGAAGAAGAAATCCCCCAGAAAATTTGCAGTTACAGAATTTCAGCAGAAAATTACAGGATATGCACTGACTAGAAATGAAGCAGTAAGACGATTCCAAAACTTTTGCAGGAGCAAGTAGTCTTGAAAGCAGGATCACTTATGACCACCTTGATAGAATCATGAACACAATTAATCAGGAATTCTCAACGAAAAGGATATCTAGAGGGGGCCATAGTCAGAAGAAAATATGCCTATGCATATGTAATTCAGCACTGTTGTTTGACCAGGAACCTGACCTGTTCCTGACCAGGAATATTTCTATATATGTCCTCTTGTTCATTGGGGCTTACATTCAACTATGAATGTTTCAAATTACAATATAAGTGCTATATTAAAATATGGGGGGGGGCTTACTAAAATGTTACTATTCTACAACAATACCATTGAAGATCAGGTCAAGAAATTTAAGAAACACTTTAAACCACACATGTGTACTTCTGTCAGTGTCTCATAGGGGTGTGTCCTAAACAGATCCGTCTAAATCTAGATCAGTTTAATTCTACTTTTGGGGGATGACATTGTAACAGATCTTCAACCTAATTGTTACCTAATTGTTGAACCAGCATTTATTTTCAGTGACCTAGAGAAGTCATTTTTTCAACACTTCCTGGTTAACAGAATCTAAAATCTGTAGTATCCAGAGGGCTTGATAGAAGCACCTGGTGTTAAAACATTAGTTAGGAAATAGTGTAAATGTATTTTCTGCAATTGGTCTCTGCAGAAGAAATTTCTCATCGTGCGTTCAAAGTACATACGCTCTGACCAGTCCATTCTTTCAACATTATTAAGTACATAGTAATGATTTATTCAACAAGAGATAACACACATGTAAATGGACAAAACATTGTACAATTATTCACTAGCCGGTAAGAATAAACAGTTTCCCCAGTCTATAAACACTTGTGTATTGTTCCCCATAAGATGCTGAAATTTAGCAATGGCATGTGAAGAAACGGGAGCACTCCCAGTAATTCTGCATGCATGGGGATGGGATGGGAGAAGGAGGATACAAGGGTTAAGGGAGCTGCAGGTTGGCAGTATTGCTGCCCCACTGGTGCATGTAAACCTATGTGACACTAGTGGTACCAGACCAGAGCTTTCCCAACCTTGCCACTGCATTGCCCTTACCACTGCTTCTGGAATGCTGCTCATGGACCGCTACTGTTGAGATGTTAATGATATTAGCTGCCCCACACTCAAGGTTAATCATATACATATACTCTGCAGTTTACTATATGCAATTTCCAATTTTCCTGAAATACCCCACAATGTGGTATAATTCAAAACTGTAGTATTTCAGCTTATTAGAGATATACATCATAAGATATAAATATGTGAAATAAAAATGGCAATTGTTAATATCTTTATCTGGATCCAAAGTGAAAACTACTACTACTGCTGCTAATTATTGTTGTTGTTGTTGTTTGGTTTTGTTATTTGACATTGGCTTAAATATGATTGAATTTCTTTTAGCACAGAATTCAATTTAGCAGTGATTATTCCTGACAAACTGACAGTTATGATTAACCTTAGGTACTTAATAAAAATTAATATTCACCTGGAACAGTCAACCTTGTAGTACAGGTTCATTCTCCTTATGGTTGTTAGGCTTGATTACTGACTTGTTCCAATTTATTAAGACTCTTGATAGAGGTGAGCATTCATTTAATAGATCTAACAGTTTAGAAATTGAGGGAAATGGATTAGGGGGGAAAATCAATAAAGTACAAACAGCATCTAATCACACTTTATATCTCTTTGCTATAATTGTCACTCCAGTAATGTCTAAATTATGCTGGTTTTGAAGGTACTAGCACTAGCAAAAATACACAATATGTCAGGCATTTGCAAAATTGAAGATATATATAAGTTCTACTATTCATGATTAACCCTGAACATGGGGGCTTAGTTGAATCTTAATCAAGTATGCAGAAAAAATGTTAATGTTGTAACAATTCTGTCAAACAAATTGTGGGTGGAAACGCTTCTTTCATCTAAAGATCACTTTGAGCTCCTAGCAGAGAGCTCCGATTGGCAGTGAAAGGGAGAAGGAATTATGCCTATTTCTTCCTTAATTCCAGAACCACCATACATCACTCAAATTTTACCACCCAATGCCTGCCTCTTTCCTGTCTGATGCTCCAACCCTGAATCACTCTGACAAAGGCAGATTTAGGGCAGCGTGACTACTTCCTCTGTACAGTTCCCATCATCCCTGACCACTGGTCCTGTTAGCTAGGGATGATGGGAGTTGTAGCCCCAAAACGTCTGGAGGGCCAAGTTTGCCTATGCCTGCTTTGTACAGAGTGCTCCTTCCCAAAGCCTAGTAAATATTTGCTTCATGAAAGAGGTGTGAGGACTCTGGCAAGGTCCTAGAGACCTCACACAACCTTCCTAAAGCCTAGTTAGCGCTTTCCCAGGTTTGTGAAGGAGACAGAAGGGCTCTAAGACACTGGCAGAGCCCTCAGCCCCCTTTCCAAAGCCTGGTCCCTCACTTACCAGACTTTGGGAAGGTGGCATGACTGCTGGGGGGGGGGAGCAAATTTTGGCCTCGCACGGGGTGCTGTATTACTAAGGTCTGCCCCAGAGTCTGAGCCGTCAAACCTGACCTGTAACAATCCATGGCTGCTGTATCTGACTTGTCCAATGCCCATATCTCTCTGAATATGCCCAATTTGCCTTGGGTCAGAATCCTACAACCAAGATTAAGATTAAATTTGGTTGGCCCCCATCACAGTCCTCAGGCAATGGTTCAGTCTCTCCACAGCTTCCCTGAGATATGAGGGCAAGAAGAAAAAGAGTTAGGTATCATCCACATATTAGTGGCACAACTACAGATCTTTATATAGTCTTTGCTGGTGGTTTTGTGTAGATGTTAAAACAATATTGTGTCCGTTTCTTCCTGGATCGAATAAGTTTTAAAGAGTAGCTTCATACATTGTTAGTCATAAAAAATATTTATATTGTAAAATGGAATATTCTCATATACAGTTCTATCAGAAACCATCAGGTCCTGGGGCTTTTGCTATTGGCATTGAATGAATGACACAAAATATGTCATGATAATGATATGATAATCACACAATCTGATATTCATTTGCAACTGGTATGTTAATATTCTGAAAGAGCTCTTGAGGGTTATTATGATTAGATCTAACAAGGAAACTGCATGAGGGAGCAGGGGCAGGCTGCTTTAAATACCCAAAGAGCAGACCCAAGTGAAGCCTACTGGCCTCAGTTGGTCCCCACCTCCCAGGAAGAAGCTGGTCCCAAGCCTGCTTGCAATAGGCCAATCCACCAGGCAGGCCTAGACTCCGACCTCCTGGACAGCTCAGAGAACCAACTAGATCCCCCATTGCCAGAAGACTCCTGCTGGCCAGGAGCCCTGCAGGCCCACAACGACACCCCGACAAGTGGCTAAGCGGAATTGTCTTCCTTACATAGTTCTTCATGGAACTTCTTTCGGCAATGGTTCCTGTTAACTAGACTGTCTGCAAAGCTTCTGTTTCTGTATTGCTTTTAATAGAATACCAGTAGCTCAATAGCCTTCTCTTCAGACACCTAACAGAACTGTGCAGCTTAAGAACTCTAGCAAACAAATTTACAGCCATTGGGATCGTGTCATTTAGGGTGATATCCAACTGTGGTGTCCTATTTGTGCAGCAGGCATCTCCTTACACAAATAGGACATGCTTCCTTCCCCTCTACAGCTCCCCCACACCCCAAAATCTGCTTCAGAGGGTTGGAGTAGATGGACACTGCAGGGAGAGGATAGGATGAGGAATTCCTCTCTGAAGGTAGTCCTGTTCAGGGAAGATTTTAATATCTGACATTTTATTATTATTTTATATTTTGCTGGAAGCAGCTCAGAGTGGGTAGAGTATAAACAATATAATTAATAATAATAATAATAATAATCCATTGCATCTGCTATCGTGACATTGGATCTCACTCTTCGTTTTGAGATCACATGATATCAGTATTAAATGAAGCATTTCTGTCATGAAAAGGATCTAATACAAACTATAACATCACCAATAATTAAAGAAGAAGAATCTATTGACGTTGGGGGGGGCAATAAAGAAAAAAAATCCATGTTTGGAATAGTAACATTAGCTATAGATAAGATTCTCTGGTCTATCCATAAAATCACTGCAATACAGCTTTTCCCTGCGTCAGCTGTTTTCAACACTTCAAAATGAATTTCATATGGATCAAAGTGCTACTCTTCTTGCTCAAGATGAAACCCCATTAGCAAATGCTCTGCCCGCTGGATCTATAACTATCACTATTACATATATAGGTTTCTTTTCTGCTGCTTTTATTATTTGAAATGCATTTAAAAATTGGATTTGCTCATTAACACTTTAACTTTTCATGTTAAACCTAACAGGGGAGGGCTAAAAAAAAAAATCACATAATCATTAACAAAAATGTATTATGCCACCAATATTTATTGCACTCATTAATTTATTTTGTTGATATAAGTTACCAAGTTCATTTAATATATGCATTTCATCCTTCTGTGCCGTTGCTGCAACGTCTCTGTTTTGTAGGTTTTTCAGGAATAGAAAAACCTCAGCTTCTGACTTATTCCTAATGCCTGCCTTTTATGACTTACACACACCCAACAAAAAAGCTGAAAACTACCGTATTTTTCGCCCTATAGGACGCACCGGCCCATAGGACGCACCTAGATTTTGGGGGGGAGAGAATAAAGGGGGGAAATTTTATTTTCCCCCCCCAGGCGCGGGGCTAGGGCGGGGGAAGCCCGAGCTTCCCCCGACCCCAGCTCCCAGAACAGGAAGCTCTCCGCAAGCCCGAGCTTCCCCCGACCCCAGCCCCCAGAACGGGACCCAGAGCCATGCCGAAGCTGCGTGCAGCTTTGGCATCGCTCTGGGAGCTTGCGGGGCTGGGGGAGGGGGAAGCCCTCCGCCAGCCTCCAAACCAGGTCGGGAGACAGCGGGATGGTGCGCTGCACCTCCCCGCTGTCCCCTGAGTTTGCGGGGCTGGTGACGGGGAGAAGCAGGCTTCTCCCCGCCGCCAGCCTTCTAACCAAGTCGGGGGACAGCGGGATGGCGGCGTTCCGCCTCCCCGCTGTCCCCCAACCTTGTGGGGCTGGCGGTGGGGCTCTCCTGAAGCCTGGAGAGCGAGAGGGGTCAGTGCGCACCGACCCCTCTTGCTCTCCAGGCTTCAGCGAAAGCCTGCATTCGCCCCATAGGACGCACACACATTTCCCCTTCATTTTTGGAGGGGAAAAAGTGCGTCCTATAGGGTGAAAAATACGGTAACTTTTCATCAGAAGTCTTATTAGAGCACAATATTGCCCATTCAGCTTTTCCTTTTAACCTATGTTTATTTCCCATTAGACAATTTATTATTTCACAACTCCTTTCTTGTGCATAAAGAGATAATTTTGTAAACACGGAATTTTCACCTCATTCATTTTGATTTCCTAAACATCACAAACGACTTGATTCTGTATTTCCATTAACTGACTGTCCTGAAACTTTACCAGAGTGCCCCACAGTTACCCTCTGTAGTACCATCTTATGAGAATTATCAACACAGATTATTACTCCACCAAGTAAAAAAGCAACACGTTCAACTTTCTTGAATTTGAATAATCATAACACTGTTGTTTTTGGTAAGCCTCATAGGTGCATATTGTTTCATCATGGATATGCAGAGTCAGATTGTTAGGTCATCTATCCCTGTATACCCTTTGTTGAGCGGCAGCAAGTCTCTAAGAT